TCATTGTTGTTGCGTTGGCACCATGCTTGTTTTCAAGCCGGTGGTAAATATATATATAATAGAAGTAGATCTTACAGATGCGTTGTCGCATCTTGTGGAAATTTACAATGAAAAATCACTCTTGAAAGGAAGTCTAATGAATATATCTTCCTCCTCAGTTAGCATGCTTTCTCGTTCAGTTCAAACATTTTTCATATTTTTTTGCAAAATTCTGTTTGGATAACCAATAATTTGGTGAACATCAGTGCATTCGTCCTGTAGCGCCTCTTTCCGATGAACCGATTTCTCTGACCCTCGATACGAGGAATTTTGCCATATTCTACTTCTGCCCTACCCGATAATAATCATGCAATTTAGTCTAGTGATCGGTCAGAGTCTTTTCGCTCTATACATAGCAGTAAATTATAATCCATCGTCTTCTCTGATCAACAGGGCAAACGTAATTCGATAGCGCACTTCTGCCTAAACCAAGAATCGTACAGAGTAGGCATTGGATAGTCCTAACACGGCTGAATCCACTTGGCAGAATATGTTTTAAATAAAAAGATGAACAGCAAAATTTGCACGGGCGCTCCTCAAAGCTTTTGCCTCAATCACCATGGAAGATAAGTGTGCTCAATTAAGGCTCCCACGTTATTGCTCTGGACAAGGACTGAACAGTAAATGTTCATCCGAGAAGGAATTCCCCTGGGGTGTCCACCGGTACCCCTACTGTACTGTTTTGTTTTGCTCCAAAAGCTGATCACAAATAGTATATAGGCTCCGGGAGAAGTAGATTAATGAAACTGATACGAAATCGAGTGACCAAATAACTTTATTTGGCACATTCGCAGCTTTGATGACATCCACGAAGTGAGATATGTCCCTCCTCAGACTTCGTGGTTAAACGGTTTCGTACTCTAAAAGTACATTTAACTATTTAGCAATAGACTGATGTAGGGAGTTAGCCACTGGCTGCATAAAACGTATGGGTACTCAGCTGTTCTGGGTTCTTGGGGTATCGGTTGACCATATGACTTGGGGGTACATGGAATTTGAAAAGCTACCATAAATATTTATTTGAAACTTTCTAGCGCTTTTCATCAGTAACTTGATGATTAAATGAAACTATTTTAGTCTATCCATTAAGCTTTTGTTCGCATTTAACCAACATATAAAATCGAGTACTGTGCTTCAGCCTCTCGCGATTTCCGCGCAGCAATCGGTCATCGTTTCTTTCCGGCTTTTTACGTCGTTTTATTGAATAGACAATCGTGTACACTATGTTTTAGAAGCAACAAGTGGCCAATCGATGGGCTGCCATGCAATACAAGGACAAGAGGAAGGATGAGCCGCACTTTCGAGGGTTCGAACACGTAACCCCTGGGATCAGGCTGTGGATACCCTAAGCGCTTGATCAGCGCCGCTCCAATATCATTTAGAGAGAACACTCAAATTGACCTGCACTTACCGATCCGAAGACCTGAAACACTATTGAATTCTGCTGGAACCGGTACGGAACTGAAAGTCAGGCCACAAGCATCCGCGACTATCTGAGCACGAACAGCATCGCCTGAACTGAGCCTAGGACGTCCGGGTGATGAGGTCAGATCGGCCACCACAAAATGCAAATCCGTGCCGCCAGAAACCAGTCGTACACCTCGGGACTGGAGGCCTTTGGCTAGTGCTTGTGCGTTCAACAAGACCTGGCGTGAATAATTCTTGAATTCTGGTTGCATAGCCTGAAGATGCATGAAGTGATGTTGGTAGATGTAACTCTATAAAAGACGAAATATTCGTACTCCGAGATCGACCAACGGTCATTTTAACCCGTTACAGTTATAGCCCTGCCTTGTTATTGCAGTTCGATATAGCCCATGGTTTCCTCTTCTTCTGGTAAGCATTCGGTTGTGAAGCGATTGTACCAAGACTAGGCAGGAAAGTGAAGAAATGCGGTGCTGTCAGCTTGTAGGCATGTGTCCTGATAAACTACTTTCGGGTGGTGTGCTGCCTCGAGACCTATTCGTGAAAAATTCATGCGCTTAGGGCTCAAACATCAAGTGTATTTGTCCAGACCACCGCAGTCAATCGTCAAAATCAAAGTTTTATTTTGGGAATACTTACAGGCGGTTACTTTTCTTGTCCCATAGAGCTTATGCACAACTGGATCGATTTACTGATCAAACAAAGAGATGAGGAATGTGTCAAATTTTCATTGCTTTTGCACTGCTACAGATGTCAAAATTTAAGACATGACAATGTTTCATCCAGTTTGTGCTTGAATTAATCCATTGTGGGTGAGGAAACAACGCGAGGTGGTAGAGAATTCCAAATACTGCACACTTTGAGATTCTAATTAAGTGCTGCATTTTTTGAACTACTTTATGTTTTTTACTATGATCATGTATACGTAACTGTCTTTTTACCAATATCAATGAAGCACACAATTATACAGTTCTCTAGATGCTTCAATCAACTAGGCTGTAAGGCCAATAGGTACTCATTCCTTAGCTCACGCTCAGGTTCCCGAATATGGCAGCATGCTTGAAAGATGCTTTGTCTTGTTGTCCATTACCGTACAAAGGTTGATGTCATGGTTATACGGTTTGTTTGGCATATGGGTGTCGTTTTCTTTCTGATCAATATATTATGGCTTGAAACCTGATCGAATGTTAAACAACCACAGGAAACACTGTAGAAGTTATGAAAAGTTACGAAAAATGGTAGGTCGTCTGAAAACATTATTCAAATATGAAACAAATGGTCAAAAAGGAGCACTCAGTCTTAACGGGGTTAAAACGAGTGAAGCTTAAAATGCAGCTTTATAAAAATAAACAAAGCCTTGCACGTTCCGTGTTCCCTGGCTTTTGCCGGACTTGTTTCATCTCTGTGGATGATGATCAGAGAAGTGCCATTTAAAGATGAATATGCAAAAAACATTAAGTTGACATTTATTGGAGAGTATCACGCGGATAATGGATAAATTCTTTTGATGACGATGCTCACTGGTAAAAGAAACAAAGTTGCTGCTGATCTCATGAGTGATCAGGCAACTTAAATTGTTATCAATGTTATGTACTGATCCACTAAGTCCCGGCATTGAGCCCTGTCATCGCCACACAAATTCGGTGACACCACATCGCCCGAGTCCACTGAAGGTTTATATCGTTTGAGCTGGTTGTGACTATCATCCACTATTATTGACTGTAGTACCTACCAATGGCTTTGTTCTTTGACTGCCCGATACTGACTGCCACTACGCACGTACGCACGCACCCACACAAGCACGTTACACCGACAAAGTTCTTGCCAAGATCGATTCGCTTCAACAAATCCGATTTCAGTACTGAGCTGTCCTCTCTAACGGAGTCATTGCCCTCCTGACTGCCCGGCTTGGATGCAAACCTAGTGGCCTACAGCTGCTGTGGGCAATCGCCCACCCGCCTGTTTTGCTTAAATACGTGTCCGCGGATGTACACACGTGCTTACCGCATTAATTGATCATAACAACAGACGAATTTACCTGATTCTTACAATGTAGCCAGACAAAAGTTCCATTTCAGTTACCGATTCTCTAAAGCAAACAGTAGATCCATGTAGCTATGGGACAGTTCGTTTGCTGACCATCAAGCTGAGATTAGTGATAAACAAAGTAGGCTGCTAGATTGAAGTTGTGATTTTTTGCCAAAAACTACTTCCATCGGATATTATCGCTATCGTCTCATATCTGGATAAACGTAGTACATCCATTTAGCCCTCCCTCCCTTGAAACTTTGGCATAACATGCACAAACCCCAGTTCACGTTCTTCTCCGTCGCTTTAGTAAAACAATGAAAAACAGTGCATCCTGTGCGCAATTTCTTCACAATAACCAATCCGGTTGCTCACTTCATACGCCATGCATGCGACACCTGCAATAACATTCTCATGAGGACCACTTTGCAGACCCGGAAAGACAGCATCATTTATCCGAGTTTCGTAATCCTGCGCGTTCAACGGACGCAGACTGTCGAAACGATCATTTTCTCGTGAATACCTTCGGAAGAATATCATCCCGGATCGTGGACCGCGAAGAGTTTTGTGCGTGGTGGATGTCACCACATCCGACAAAGCAAATGGTGAGGGAACGACACCGGCAGCAACCAGTCCGGATATGTGCGCCATGTCAGACAGAAGAATGGCTCCGACAAAGTCACAGATCTGAGAAAGTATGCCAAATAAGTAATTCTTCCTTTATGCACTTAAAACCTATCGATCAGTCAAATAACAACGAAAATGGTGCAACAGCGCTCATAAGTGAAAATGCGACCTATTTCGGTAATAAAAGGTGTATAAACTATTCGAGATATAAAGTCGTATGCTTGCTCACCTGACGTAAACGGGGATAGTCGAACAGCCGCGGATGCGTACATGTACCCGCAATAATCAACTTGGGTTTGAACAACTTCGCGTCCTTTTCCAATGCATCGTAGTCGATCAGTTCCGTTTGCATCTGGATGGGCAGAGTGAAAACATCCAAAAAAAAACACAGTAAGCGATTTTCATGAGTAATTTATTGAAACAAAGCAATAGATGGAAGAATCAAAACATTATAATAGCGACTATATGAAGCCATTTTAAAAACACTTGATGAGTGAAAGCAGTAAATACTTCCGGGACTAGGGTGATCAAGGACGCACTGGCCCCAGGTGGAGGCTCGCCCTAGCACTCTGACGGGTTGAAGCCTGCGACAATTCTTGATCGGGCTCACTCGGGCGCCTAGTTTTTGCCAGTGGGGAGGTCTTCAGACTATCCTTTTCGGGCTGTGGTGACTAAGTGGTTAGGTTACCAAATTGTGATCCGGAATCCCCGGGTTCGAACCGCTCCATCGCCGCCCGTCTTCCTTATTTTCGCATCTCAGCCCCCTTCCTGAGAGTTTACTGTACATTTGTACATTCAATAAAGTAAAAAGGAAGTAAAAAGACATTCATTTATTTTATTATTCGTGGCTTTTAACAAACCGAATGAAACAACGGTAAACTGCTTTCAAGACTTTTCACTGATGACTGACACGTTTGTCTTGATAAACGAATAAACAATTATTACGAACTAAAAAACTTCTTACGACGCCTCCGATGTCGTCCGACTCACTATTACACCTGTTCTATCGAGCCCTTATGTGCATTCGCCGCTCTGGGTCTCAGGATCACGGTTGCCAGTTTTCTCCTCACACAACGCGGGCCACTGTTGTGAAAGTTGCCCCTTCGTATGCAGATGTCATTTCTACTCCACTTAGGAAAGCAGCTCCTGCAGCTGCACCGCAGCAGAAGCACCCGAAAAAAAGGGCAGTGATATCGTCTGCTGCATCGCCCTCACGGACAGACTCGACTCCCTCGTCCATGACATCCAGGCACGGTGCGTGTAACATGTCACGGACAGTTGAGAGGTGCCCCCGCGATTCTCAGGAACCTATGCAGCAGAGAAAGCTCCCTCCGAAATCTCAGTGCCTTATTGTTGTCAATATTCCGGAGGCCGAGGCCACCACTGCCCAGGCTCGCCTGGACCACGACCTGCAGCTGCTGAGGTCACACATGGTTACCTGGGTTGATGGCGACGAAGTGGCACCAGTAGCATCAACGAGAGTAAAAGTGGCATTCAGGCTTGGAAAACCCCGTTATATGAATTCTCCACGACCACTGAAGGTGGTTCTTCGAGCCGAAAGCGAGGCCAAAGCGATACTCCAGCGGATCCACAAGCTGAAGGGAACTCCGGTGCGATTCCTCAGGGATCTTGATCCGAACCAGCGCAGTAAATTAAAAACTGCATTAGAAGAACTCAGGGAGCACCGTGAAAAAGGGGAAACTGATCTGTGTATACGGGATTTTCGTGTGCATCGGAAGCGCCCTCAGTTGCGTTGGCTGCCCTTGGTCGGGGGTAGGACCTAGGAGACTGTTTAATCACGGACGGGGGATTAGCTTGAGGTATGAATGGCGAAGTAACCACGCTGTGCTAGCCTCAACCAATATCCGAGGGATGCTGGGGAAAAGGGACGAGTTGGAGGACTAGGTTCTGTTCCACACTCCCGATCGTTTTGCAATCGTTCAAACCTTGCAGATGTCATTTCTGCTCCACTCCGAAATATCATTCCACGGCTACACGGAATTACGAACGGATCGATCATCATCCCGTTGTGGTGGTGGGGTTGTTCTTTTTGTCCGTTTGGGTCTCCCTGTTAGAGTGCTGGAGAATTATGCCCATCTGGAAGGATTTGGAGAAGCCCTGTGGTGCAGAATCAAGCTTTGTGTCGGAGGGTACACCATAGTTGGAGTGATCCACCGCACACTGAATAAGTTCGTCTCGAAGCTGTTGGCCAGGATGCAGAGGTACGCCTGCGATGGACATTGTCTTGTCTTGGGTGGTTCAAATGCGCCCCATGTTGACTAGGAAACTGACATTTGCTCTCAGCATGCAGATTTGTTCTCTAGAGAACTTCTTTTCGCTGTCCGGGCCCTGTCACTTGTTCAGCATGATCATGTGCCCACGCGGATAGTTGGGGATCAAAGATCCATCCCTGACCTGGTATTTTCGCCGAGGCAATCAGATACGACTAGGATTGACCTCCTTCCACCAAGTGCTCACTCCGTTCTGCGTATACACTGGAGGCG